TACCTTTAAATCACGAGCTTTTGTTATTTTTGATTCACCTCCATCACGACCAACAAGTAGATAACCTGTTTTACTACTAATCGATCCTGTTACTCGACCACCATATTTTTCTATTAAATCCTTACAATCATCACGTTCTAATGATTCAAGTACACCTTAAAATAAATAAAAATTGAAAATATTCATATGTTTATATTAAATTTATCTAACCCGATATAACAAATGTTAAATTTTTAAGACAGTTAGGTGCTCCATCTGGAATTGTTTTTGAGCCAGGTGCATCAGCTCCACCACGATTCATAAATGTTTTAAAATTTTCCACTCGTCGTTTCTTTTCTAATGGATCCACATCTTTTGTTTTGAGTTTTTTCTTTGGTGTTGTATCGTCACATTCTATTAATGGAATATTCTCATCTACTTGTTTTGTCTTTGTTTTCGTCGGTTTTTGACCAGCTTTTGGTACGAATGCATCTTCCTCTTCATCTTCAATATCAACATGTTCTCGTACTCGCTAAGAATTCAAATATACAAATAAATCATAATTCAATTTCTTAGGTTTTTTTTGTGACATACTTTATTAGTATTAGTATTTGATGGTGATGAAATAGAACCTTTTTTGAAAAAACTTCGAATATCAGCCATCTAATTGAAACTATGAATCGAAATGATTATTATGTTTATATCTATAGCTAAGAATGGAATTGTAATAATGATCGTTACATTCTATGTTAAGATATATTATGTTAGTTAGAAAGAGACTTTGTAAATAGAAAAATGAATTTAAATAACCAATCGAGGAATGACTTTAATAGAAAGATACAAATACAATTGTTTTATATATATATTTAGAAAAAAAGGAAAGAAAATAATCCTCTTTCTTATAAAAATACTATATATCTATAAAGAATTCAATTGAATTAGTTATCAATCGATCGTTTTCTCGAGAAGTAATTGACTGAATTGAAAATAAATAAAAAAGATAATCGATTACATTAAGTTTATAATATAGTTTCACATATTCAATAAAATATGCATTAGCTAACAAATAGCGTCATCTGTCAAAATTTAGTTTTTATTGCTATCGGTTTAATGATGATTCACACAGTAGGGCTTTCGTGAGCGAGAAAATCATCGAAATAAACGCCACTCCTGTTCGATTAGTTTCGCACTAGTGCATAAAATACGTTATAGAACGATCATATTTGTCAGTATAGATATTTTTAATTTAGAAAAAACATGAAACTTCTAAAAAATTGAGTATATTAATATATTATTTTGAGAGCTAGATTTTTTATGATTATAGATCGTATATCATTAACTGATAGTTACGGAAAATCGTGAGCTACTTCCATTTCGTACATTTAATAATTTGATATTATGAATTTTTGACACAAGTTTATACTATTATTTTAGTATTGTATTTATCAAATTCCATGGCAACAAGTAGTAGTAGTACTGCTGATTCTAAAGAAACAAATGGATCATATGTATCTTGTGACTTTGAAATTTTTGGTATAGTTCAAAATGTTTTTTTTCGTAAACATACTGAACAACAAGCAACAAAATTAAATCTAGTTGGTTGGGTTAAAAATGCTGCAAGTGGTACTGTACAAGGTCATATGGAAGGTCGAAAAGAAGATATTGATAAAATGAAAACTTGGCTAAAAACAACAGGAAGTCCAAAATCTAGAATTTCGAAAGCGAATTTTTCAAATGAAAAAACTATTACACAATTAAATGGAAAAACATTTAGTGTTAATAAATAGAATTAAACATTCTCGTTTGTAAATAAATCTAAGAATCTCAGTTTTTTTTTTCATCTGTCCATATTTATTCTCGCTCGATACTTATTAGCTTTTTAAAAATAAATATTATTAAATAAATTATCATCAAAAAATATACACTGACATTTTTTGTAATATGAAATAAAGATGTACTTTTATTTGATAATACAGATGATAATATTTTATCGTGAAAGTTTCTCTCTTATCTAAACTAAACAAGGCATATATAAAAGTGTCGATAAAAGCCTCTTCATGTTTTTCATTTCAGAAAGAGGTATAAAAACGACAAGATGCCTTCATCGTTTTCAAAATCAAACCGTACTCTTGCTGCAGTAGCTGCTGGTGCTGCCGTTGTTACATATGCTGGTAATAAAGTATATAAAGCACGTACTGCAAATAAATATGATGATGGAATCGATGTTAATAATCAATCCGTTGAAATTGATCCTGTTGAGCATATTCGTCGTTGTACTTTTTATAAAGATGTTGATATTTATTCATATTATAAAACAATTTACCCGAATATAAAAACATTAGGTGATGTTATTCCTCATGGTTATACACTTTCTAATAATGGACCATGTGTTACAAATATTGATCTATCCAATAAACAAAATCCACTCAATTGGATTTCTTATTCACAGGCATTAGAAAAAATACGTTATATTGGTTCACATTTATGGACAAATGTTAAACTAATACCTAATGAATCCAAAGTAGCTATTATATCACCAAATCGAGCTGAATATACTTTTGTTGAACATGCTTGTTACATGTATGGTTTTATTGTTGTTGCTCTTTATACAAGTTATGATTCTGCAACTGTTCTATCATTATTAGATAGAACAGATACTGATGTACTTGTTGTTGATAATATTGCTCGTATTCAACCATATAAAGAAAAAATTCTACAAAATACACGTATTAAACAAATTCTTATTATGGATGATGAAGTAACAAATCCTAAAAATGAAAAAATTAAAAGTATTCCTGCTATTTTAAAAACTATGCAACAAGCAGATGTTCGTCCATTACCAAAAATAGATCCAGATGATACTGCTGCATTTATTTTAACTAGTGGAACAACAGGTATAAAATAAATCAAACTTTAAAAAAAAAAGTAATCATTAAAATATACATATATTTCAGGTGAACCAAAACTTGCAATGTTATCACATACAAATATTCTTGCTTCAATGAAAGGTGTTACTGATCGACGACAACGTGCAAATCTTCTTCCTCATGCTGATCATCTACATGTTTCATATTTACCATTAGCACATTTATATGAACGACTAATATTAATTCTTAACTTTATTCATGGTTCTCAAGTTGCTTATTGTCCAACACCAGAAAAAGTTTTTGAATGTTATCAACTTGCAAAACCAACAGGTGCTTCAATGGTACCAAGAATCTTAAATAAAGCTTATGATACAATAATGACTGAAGTTAATAAAAGTAAAATAAAACGATTTCTTATATCACAAGCATTACATAATGAAAAACCATCATTATATTCTCGTTTTATTTTTCGTAAAATAAAAAATTTATTTGGTGGAAGACTTGAGGTTATGGTAACTGGTTCGGCGCCAATAACACATGAAGTTTTACATTTTTTTCGTATAGCACTTGATATACCAATTATAGAAGCTTATGGTCAAACAGAATCAACTGGATCTGCAACAAGTACACATGGTATAGATTTAGCTTGTGGAATGGTTGGTTCACCTGTTGCTGCTGTAGAACTTAAACTTATTGATGTACCTGGTACAAATTATCGTAGTGATAATAATCAAGGAGAAGTTTGTATTCGAGGACCTGTTGTTTTCAAAGGTTATTATGGTGATGAAAAGAAAACACGTGAAACAATTGATGAAGGTGGTTGGCTTCATACAGGTGATGTTGGTGAATGGACAAGTACTGGAACATTACGTATTATTGATCGTACAAAACATATATTTAAATTAAATCAAGGTGAATATATTGCACCTGAACGTCTTGAAGATGTTTATCTTCGTTCACGATGGGTTAATCAAATATTTGTTGATGGAATACCTACTGAATCAACTGTTGTCGCTATTGTTGTACCTGATGAAGAATATGTTCGACAAAATTTTAAAACAACAGCAACATCTTTTGAAGATATATGTAAAGATGAAAAATTAAATGAAATTATTTTGAATGATTTAAAAAGATTAGCAAGAGAATATAAATTTAAATATTATGAAACTATTTCTAATATACATCTACATTCCGAATTATTTTCACAAGAGAATGGTCTTGTTACATCTACATTAAAAACTCGACGAACAGCAGTTCGACAATATTTTCAAGATAAAATTCAATCACTTTATGAAGGAATTGAAAAATTAATGAAACCAATTACTGAACTGCAATCAAAACTATAAACTATAACTGTGTTTTGCTTTTTAAAGTTTTCGTAATAAAATTTTCTAGTTTTAACTATGATAAAATCAAACTTTGAAATAAATATCATCATCATCTGATTGAAAATCAACGCTTTTATTTTTATTAAACAAAATATTTGAATTTGAAATAAAATGATTAAATTAAAAATTGTCGGTATATTCTTTTTTGTCAGTTGGTATTGTTTGTGATGGTATATTAATTTTTTGTATTGCAATTATACGTATACCTTCTTTAGGTGCAACAACCATAACTTCTTTGCTTTGTGTTCGTAGACGAAGTGATATTAAATTATCTGTTGGACATACATCACGTATTGCTGATCGAGCCATTTCAGCAAATGCAAGTAATTTAGGAGTAATTAAAAATGTAACATTATTATCAAGTGATGTATAGTGAAGTTGACCTTCTTCATTAGTTAATATAAGACCTTCAACACCACGATAAGTCGATAATCTTTTTAATGTTGCTTCTTCAGTTGATGATAAACCTATTTGTAATAGAAACTTTAAAATTAGATTTTATTTTATTTTATCAAACAGTTTTTCTACCGGCTGAATTATCCATTGTTATGTATATATAATAAATTCTTGAAATTTTCTTTTCAAATATCTTTATCGTTGATAAGTAAAATATTGACAGAGACAAAGAAAGAAAAGAAAAGAAAATGAGAGATAAAAAATATCGTTACAAACTCACTGCGAATAAGAAACAAATCTATGTGTATGTTATTTAAATACCGAGCAACACAAAACAGACGACGTACGTATACGTGTATGTCTTAAAGAAAAGAAGAAGAAAAGAGAAGAAGAGATTTTTATTATTGACATACACACATACTCGTTCAAGTTAGATATTTTCAACGGCTCTTTTAATAAATGATTATAACTGTAAATAGAAAAAAAAGTATTCTTATCGATTAGTTTGACATGAAAAAAAGAGAAAAGAAATACTTAGTAAAATACTTTCCAAAGCATCTTCATTCTTTTTTTTTATTTCTAAATTAGACTTCTCATCTATTATTACAGCTACTACGTTGATGCTCAGTGTTGCGCAAATAGAAAAAATAATAATAATCATTCATGGCATTTTTCTTTTGTATAGAAACATGTGAGAAAACTGTTACTGTTAGAAACAACTTCCGGTATTATTATCGATCAAAAGCCGATTTCTTCTTTTTTTAGAAATTCAATAGAATTATATAAGAACTGAATAGTTTGCCGATTAAATCAATATTTGAAAAAGAGAAAAAAACTAATTTAAGATTACGATTATATTATCTCGACTCCAATTTCGATGTGAATAGCTAGAATAACATTAAATATCAAATTCTAATTAGAATCTAAACTGAAGTATATATCCTCAAATAAAAATAAGAATATACACATCATATAATATTTAACATATCGAATTTATGAATTAAAATTATATTCATAGATTAAAAATATTCATTTGATCTTAGAATTCATCTATTATTAACACAACTCAAATATAGTATATTCGGAAATGACAGTGTCGAAGGTTATATCTTGAAGAAAATTGTCGAAGAGCTAGAAAGAAAAAGAAATGAAGAAAAATAGGATATTCTAATGTAGCTACAAATTTGAAGATTTATTATTTTTAAGTGCTACTAGAGAATGTTCTTTTATTTCAAAAAAAAAGGCAAAACTATCATTTTGTATTCTTCATACATCAAAAGTTATCATGCAACAATAAATAAATATTTTTCATAATGTTATAGTTCAGTGGTATGGAAATAAAAGTAATAATAATAATAAGCTACATGAATGTCTATTATTATGATTGCAGTTTTACTATGATTATTTTGAGTTATATTTGAATTTATAATTGTATTTATATCAAAGCACTTTATAGTATATAATCAATAAAAAGCTATAGCATACATGTGCTTAAAGTTCTAATTATAATGGCATATTCGATATCTAACTACTTTTATTTGAAGAAGTTTCTCATAACCCTCAAGATTATTTCTTGATCTAGAGTTGCAATTAAATTAACGCGGCTTTTTATACTACTGATTTATAAGTACACATATGATTCTTATGAATAAAGAGGTGATGGATTGACTTACGATTACAATGGTTCTATACGTTTGAGACATTAAAATCAGAAGATTCAATCTTTAACATAGACTATCAAAGTGTAGGATATTCTTGACTGAGTATACTCATGATATATTTAGTATTATGTAAACATAATCAATGAAAAATAAAACTTATTTTTATATTATTGTTTTATTAAGATAGCTTCAGCAATAGTCTGCTTATTCATATGAAATGTAACAAAATAAAAACGAAGCATTCTTTCGATTATTTTGAAAAAATAATTATATTTATTACGGATAAAACAGTTCGGAATCATTTAGATTTATTCATTGATGATGAAATATGTTGACTCAAAGCTTTTCAATAAAGTGATTTTAAATATAATGTTAGATAGATAATAACTAATTTGATACGAGTAACTTTTTTAAGTAGATAAATATATCATAGGCTAGTTTCTGTTGTTTTTATCGTAAATAAAACATTTTTATTCATGTAACTGGTTGATATAATATAGGACAACAGTAAAATCATATATTTAATGACTTTTCGTTTCTTTTATCATAATCAAAATGATTTCTCCATCAATAACCTCTATTCAAAACTATCTTTATAGATGTCAGTAAAATTTTTCAAAATGTTCTCTATAGTGGTAAAGTAATGTATCGTTTAACCAATCAATGATGTTTTTATCTATTGATTGGTTATTTATTTTATTTAATATTCTTTTTTTAAAAAACGATTTAACACTACATAAAAAACAATGGATTCTGTAATGAATATGAATGGGCTTGACTATCAAATTGAATCGACTACTAATACTCCGACAACAAGTCATATAGATCAATTATCAAATGAAAATATTTCTTCATGTGATGATCAAGAAAATCAATCGACAATAAAATTAGATAATGATAAAGAATTAATATTAAAACTCGATAATTTATTACTTGAAGATAAAAATGATCCAGACATATATTTTCATTCGTATCAATCAGAAAAAGAAATGTCATCGATTATGTCTTTAATAAGTGGTACACTTTCTGAACCATATTCTATTTATACATATCGTTATTTTATACATAATTGGCCTGATCTATGTTTTTTATGTTCAAATCGAGATACTAATGAATTAATTGGTGCAATTGTATCAAAATTAGATTTACATAAGAAAGTCTTACGTCGTGGTTATATAGCCATGTTAGCAATTAATAAAGAATATCGACGAAAAAAAATCGCTTCAAAACTTGTTCTTATGAGTATTAGAGAAATGATAAAACGTGGTTGTGATGAAATTGTACTCGAAGCTGAAGTAACAAACGATGCAGCATTAAATCTTTATGAAAACTTAGGATTCTTACGTGAAAAACGTTTATATCGTTATTATTTAAATGGTGTCGATGCTTATAGACTGAAATTATGGTTAAAATGAATTAAAAAAATAATTTGTCAGATGTTTGATTTCTTGGATATAAACTTGACAAAATTACAAAGGCCGAAAATCTTTTATCTTGATCATTTGAGAAAATTCTAATACATTTTTCAACTGTAAAGATTGTTTGCATTACTATTATTGTTATTTTCTAATATAACTTCCTAACAAATTTATCTGTCTTTTGTTTTAATTATTAGAAATTTATTAATTTTATATGTCATTCACGTTTTCCATTGTTTTAGAATATTTATATACAAACAGAAACATTTTATCAAATTGTACTTAAGGTAATTTCATTTTTTTTACATTCGCTTTTTTTTTATATAAAGAAATCAGTTTGTTATAACAACGTTTCACTCACATCCTTCTAATAATTATTTTTGATAGTATTTCTATGACACGATATTTTCTTATGGGAATATGTTTCGTGGTCAGTAAAATAATTGAAATGTCAGTAAAAAAATATTGAAATGGTCAGTAAATATATTAAGTGGTCAGTTTGAAAAAAATCAGTAAACAATTCAAAAATGATCAGTAGATTTTGTGAAAGTAGCAGTAAAAAAATATGATTTTTGTCAGTAAAAAAAAGAAATTTGGTCAGTAAGAAATTCACTTTTGGTCTGTAAAAAATTTAGTTTATCAGTAAAAAATATTCATTATCAAAGAAAATTTTATTTAAGTATAATAAAGAGAATTTTCAAGAGCTATAGAAAGAATGAGAAGAAAACTCTATTATTGCACTAAGAGAGCAGTTTTAGCTTTATATGGACGACCACGTTTTCGCTTTTCGCCGATGGGAACTGTTTTTGCTGCAGCTGGTGGTTTGCAATGCTTTAATCTTATCCCCATCCCAACAACATGTTTACGTATAAATTTTTTGAGAAATGCCGGGCAGTTACATTTTGATTTTCTCCAATTTGAATCATTTTCTACTTCCAGACACCAAATATCAAATGATTTTTTCAATTGATTGAAGGTGGTAAATTTTTGTGTCTTGTATCTATTCAAATCTTTTTGAGGAATTGAATCTAAATCACGAGCTGGTATATAATAAACTTTAGAAGATTCATTGTTTAAACAAATAACATTTTTGTTTGATTTGGCCCATTGATATGATGAAGTCCATAACGCTAAACTGATTGTGGGTTCTGTAGCGAAATGCTTTGCATTTGTTAATGATGTATCACAATCTATTGACCAATTACGTATAATATCCGAAGATGTTGTCAAAAATCTGGATAAAACATGACGTTCACGAAACGTCCCATCGTTTTTGATTGTTCTGTTAGTAGAGTCAAGCGCATTGTTGATAAAGTTTGCGAGTTTATATAGGTATTAGATAGTACCTGGATGTGGTAATATCCCATTGCATTGGGAAAAAACCAACACAAGAAAATTCTTTCACTGATTAAAACAAGGAAAATTCCAAGCAGATAGTACTTTGGATAGACGTAGAAGTCACAGAACGAAAAAAAATGTATATCCTCTGTCATTTGTTATTATGGGAGAAGAAAAGAAAAAAAAAAAGTAGACCAAATTTTCACAAATTTATATTATTTTACTTTCCATTTCATTTTATCTACTGATCGTTTAAATTTTATTACGGATATATTAAATTAATTACTGACCATTTCAATAATTTACTGATCAATCATTACTTTACTGACCATTCAATAATTCTACTGACTTTTGAATTTTTTTTTTTACTGACCGTTTCATTTATTCTACTGACCACTTAAATGACACCCTTTTCTTATTAATCGTTGTTTCGTATTTATATCAAATGTCACTTTGTAGAACAGATATGAATGTATACTAGAAAATAATTCTATTAATAAATGTTGACATATTTGTCTTTCTATATTATAATTAAAGATATATATTTTCGAGATTTGAAATTACGTTATATAATAAAGCTTAACTAGAAAAATCTTTTGAATTTTTTTATCTATTTATATATAAATGTTTTTAAATGTAATTATCAATACTCTTATTTTATCAAAAAAAGAAAGAAAAAAGAAATTATACAAGAACACTAAGTGAACAAAGTTGACACTGTTCGTTATTAGTCATTGTTGTTATATTTGTTGATGTTGATGTTGGTGGAGAATTTGTATCGATATGTAATGGTCGACAAGTTCGATAATTCATTGGAATAGTTTGTGAACTGAAATCATCATTTAGAATTTCTTGATAAATATGATAATTTGGTGCATGATTAAAATTTGAACTAGCATCAGTTGATGACGAGCCACTACTATGATAATGTGTTGGACATGTACATTGAGTAGAAAGACTTGGTTGATAACTAATGGGTCTTGGATAATGATGATGATGCTGATAAAAATGTTGTTGTTGTTGCTGTTGTTGTGATAATGGTAATGGTACTGGTGGTGATGACCATGGAATAGTATTTGTAGGTGTTGGACGAACAAGAAGTGTTTCACTTTTTGAATCATTATTTTGATGATATTTTGATGAATTTTTATGGCAAAATAATAAATATGGGCAACGTGTAATTAATAAAATAGTAATTAGAAGAAGAATAAAAACAAATAAGATTCCAAATACTGAACCAATTAAAATACTTTTCGTTGGTTCATTCATATACCAAAGTTGTTTCGAATCATTAATTAATGATGATTTTAATGTTTGTATTGGTAAATTTGTTGATGATACATGTATTTGTTTACAAAACTTTTCATAATCAATTTTTCGTAATAGAAATAAACATATTTCACCTTGTTGAGTATAATCTACTGTATAATTTCTTTGTAATACATCAAGTAAATCACTCATTTTATAAACAGGTGAATTTGAACTAATCTTAAAACCATTTAATTCATGATTTTTATAATATGTTCGACGAAATTCATCATTAGAATTTTCATCATTTAATAATGGATTTAATTCCCATTGAATTAATAATTGAGATTTATCATTTGTTGGTGTTATGATTAAATCAGATATACGGATTCTTTCGATTAAGATTTCGTCAGTTGTTCTTATCGTTGTAGACGATTGTTGTTCAGGCGTGTTGTCAATCAGTTCTTCAATTCTAATCAAGAATATTTTTATAGATAATGTTAAATAGAAAAATTCCTTATGTTGAATGATAATTACATGTATGCAAATATCACTTAACTCAAGGAAAGAAATAAGATAAGCGACGTCATAAACATTTGGTCTACAAGGTTAACAACCAGTGATACTCGAAAAGAAAATATTCCAGTTCTATGGAATACTTTACCTATTGAATTATATCTTTGTATAGACAAAATACAAATCAAATAGATATGATTAAAAGTAGAGGACGGAAAAGTTTACAAGTTAATTTTTTTTCCGCGTTGAATCACTAACTACTCCAGACATTTACTAAGTCGTTATTATCGAAGAAAATAAACCTAGATGCTCATGTATCGATTTCTTAGTCTGTACAAATAAAACTTACATATTAAGAATAGTCGTTCTTAATGTAGTAATCGTTGTTGTTGCTATTGTGGTTGTTGTTGTTGTTGTTGGTGGTGTTGTTGTTTCGTGTTCAGATTCAATTAAATAGGCACATTCTGGTAATGTCTTCGAACTACATGTCAACTGTTCATTTGATAAATCCATCAAATTATTATTTCGACGTTCCGGTGGTGATTGACATTGACCAGTTATTTTTGTTTTTGAATGAAATAAATTCCGAACATTTTCACCTAAATGACAATCACAATGTAATGGATTCTGATCGAATTCAATTGTATGTAGAGTTTGATAATAATTCAATATTGATTGATCAATTGTACATATTTGATTACGTTGAAGAGATAAACTTTGTAATGTTTCATTAAGATTAATTAAAAGTGGTATTATTGTTAAACTATTATTTGTTAAATCTAATCGAAATAAATAAATATTTTATTTAAAATGAAAAAAAGAAAGAAAAATTTATGATTTACCAAGTGATTGTAAACGTGTATTTCGAAATGCATTCATATCAATAATTTTAATTTGATTATCACGTAATTGAAGTCGTTCAAGAATTGGTAGATTTGAAAAGATTTTTTTATCAATTTGATTTCCAAGAAAATTTCCATCTAAATTTAATTGTTTTAATTTTGGTGCATTTAAAGATGAAATTAATGATAAATGATTTCGATCAAGTTCAAGAATTTCTAGCGATGGAAATATATTATTTATTGTTGATGACCATTGTGTTAATTTATTTGATGATAAATATAATTTTTCTAAATGTCCAAGACGTGTTAAGATAGATAGATTAATATAACTTAAACGATTATTTTTTAAAGATAAAATTTTTAAATTTAATGGTAAATATAATTGATTAATTGATTCAAGACGATTATAATCAAAATAAAATTCACGTAAATAATATAAATGTATAAGAAATGTTAAATGTTTTTCAGTAACTAATTCATTATTACGTAAATTTAATATTTCAAGTTGAGAAGAAATTAATTCAAATATATGTTCATCAATAGTTTCAATACCTAGAATAATTAGAAGAGAAAACTTTAAATTATTTGTTTTTGATACTTTCCAGAGATTATTTTTTATCATAAGTATAGAATTGCCTGTTTCGGCTTACATGAAAAATGTCTGCACATCAGGTTGATTAATCAATAAAAAATATTTGATTTCTCAAATCAAAAAAGATCTGAAACTCATAAGATGATTGATCTGACAATCGGATCTTATACAAGTCTATCAGAAAAAAAAATCTAATACGAGAAATTTTTTTAATGACTTCGTTAACTGACAAGATCCGATTAAACTAATCCATTTGATTAATGAAATCTTTAGCAAGGTTAAATACTTTCTATTTTATTCGATACAAAATGCACTATTTAGTTTTCTTTTTTTTGTAATAATCAGTCCGATGACCTATGAGTAACTTAATATACATATATATGTATATGAGATCGGAAAATTACATTTAAGAATTATTTTTTCTTGGAAACAAATGAAATTGCTCGTATGTTATTGCTATTTCCTCGAAGGTTTTTCATTCAAGATATCATTATCTTTTAAATGGTAGTTTGCATAAAAAACATCGCATCGGTCTATCATCTGGTTCTAAAACAGGAAATTTCTGTCAAAAAAACAAGCTCGACTCGTTGAAATATTTACTTCCTATATAAGCTAATTATTGTTTTGATCTTCGAGATGCTTCTCTCTTAATAGCAAAAAACTTTTCCTAATATAGTTAATTTAATATTTACCATTATAAGATAAATCAAGTTCAATTAATGAATTTGATGGATGAAATGTTGTCGTTGATATTGACGGATGAATATTTAAATGGCGAATTTTATTTTTACTTAAATTTAAACTTTTTAATTTTTTTAATGATAATATTAATGGAATATTAAAGTATTCAAAACGATTTTCCGATAAATCTAAACGTTCTAAATTTGGAAATAAATTAATAAATGTTTCAATATCATCAATTTGTTTTATTGAACATGATTGTAATGATAGTTGAGTTAATTTTCTTGATGTTAAAATATTTTTATTCGATGAAATATTAAATGAATTTGATAAATCAAATGAACGTAAAAGTAAACGTTTTAAATTTGGTAATTCAGACAAAATTTGTAGAAATGTAGTTGTTGTTAATTGTGATGATAGAATTGTTGTTGAGAATATAAATTCTTCTAAATAATTTGATAAATCAACAAAAGCATTAATTTCAATTGAATTTATTGGATTTGATTGAAATTCAAGTTTACGTAATTTTAAACCATTAAAAGCATTTTTATGTACAATTGATATTCGATTACCGGATAGAACAAGTTCATCAAAAATGATATTGCCTAAGAAAATATATGAGAAGAAAATTTACTTTTTTTGTATATTTATTACAAAAAAACTTACTGTTATTAAAATGAGGTATAACAGTTAACTGTTTTCGTGCACAATAAATATAAACACGTCCAGTTTCAGTTATAGCACAACGACATTTTGATTGAATATCAAATGGAATAGGACAAGATGAAATATGTATAATAAAAGTATATATTTGAATTAAAATAAATAATGAATAATAAATATGTCGAAGAAACATGATTATCTACAAATAGTATATCAAGTGTAATGAATGATAAGATAAAACAAAATGAAAGAGAAACGTTTCTGATTGTTCAAGGATTTTTTTTTCTCTCTCTTTCTCTCTCTCTTTCTCTCTTTGTATATCTATACTGATGTTTATTACAGTGTACTTAATGTTGTCATATCCTGTTCATCCCTTCGTTGGTGGTGCGTTCTTTCTCCTCCCTATTCGTTACGTGTTCACTACTGATTATGAAACAAGCAGTCGTTGTTAAGAGTGCTTATTTGCATTAGCAATAGATGGATTTTGACACCCCTAGCCTTGGCGGCATGAGCTTGTTACTGATCTTGCTATTTTTTATTCTCGAGAGACTCGTCACAGAACGATTGTTGCGGAAATCGAAGATGACAGTACCTTTATTGAACTGGACATATGCGCGTGTATGAACGTTGTGATTGTGTTCAATTAGAACGATAATGAATAATTCAGTATTCATATAAACGATAGAGGAAAAAGAGAACGATAGAAAAGAGAGTATGTGTATGTATGTATGTATGTGACGCGCGTGAGTTAATGCGCAATGTCCATCACACTGAATAAACGGTCAGTGCATGGTTATGTCATACATACTTGAATAGATAAGCATACATTTACAGAGACGAAAACTATAGTTTTTCTCTCTAATTATACTTCGGAAAAGCGAAGAAAACTGACAATTATTTATCTATTCTATTTTCTTAGTATGAAAATAAATGACAGATAAATCTTTGTGGTCAAGTGATTTTTCTTTCTTTTTTTTTTCATTTGCTAAACAAGAATGTGTCGATTAATGATGGCACTTTCGTGTGAAACGGAAGAAGTGCTTGCGCATATATATATATACATATACATTCCGAATGTCATTACGTGTAAAGAAGAAGAAGAAGCATCTTTATTTTCTCTCTAGAGGGAAAAAGAAGAAGAAACAGCTGGAAATCAACTAAACTCATCTTGATGTTGATGACGTCCGATTCACTAGAGAACAAGAGAGAAAAAAAAGGAAGAATGTTGTTCGTTGTTATTATTATCGTTCTATTACTTCTCTCTTTCTTCACAGGTGATCATTTCTTTTTTGTATAATATAACCTTTTTAACACTTGATCACTGAACCGTTACGTATCAGCCATTTTTACTGTTAGTGAAGGTCTATTGTAAACAATAGGTTATGTGATATAATACAAGAAAAAAAGAATTCATTTAAGTCGAATTTGCCTAATCATTATTCTACATGGCATACTGTCTAGAGATTACAATATATGGAAAAAATATATATATTCGAATTAATCAGTAATGAAGGTTGTGTCTTTGCTACTCGATCGTACTGTATCACATAAGGAGATTGTTAATGTGAAATGTTTACATGTTATATCTGCTTATCCTGCTGCTTTGCAAGTGTGCAGTCGAAGACCACTCATAGTCAATCAGTGACAAGTGCCTGCCGTGTGTATATGTCTGTATAAGAATGAACAAGGTGGTCATTTGAGTAAAGGTTGCATCATATTAATCGAACTCAACAACGATTAACTATTGAAAGTGTGAAAAAATGATAGATACTTAGACATCTATTGTATATATGTGTGTGTGTGTAAAGTTTTAGAAAAATAATCGAAAAATGATGTTTTCATTATCGCTGTATGTGTTCTTCTTTGTTTTCCATTGAATTAAGTAGAAACGCATGTTTCTTTTCAAATACATACACATATATATATAAAGACACTTTACTTACCTCTATTGTCATTTGACAGAGAGAAGTATTTCCGTTAATTTTGACATGTGATGATCTATGTATATATATATATGTGAGAAGTGCAAATGATGTTAGTCATTTATTCTTTCATTTCCTCTTTATAATCATGGTAATAGAAATGAACATGCACTTCTATATCATTCTACTGTCTAGCCAAATGTAGATTTTTCCAATAAGAAAAAGACGCAATGTGAGAAGATGACTAATTCATGTTCCCATTCTAATTAAATTGAGAGAATGAAGACTCTCTAATCCTACTTTGTTCTGACTCAAGTTATTCGATACGAACAATTGTATGAAAAAATAAAATAAAATAAAATAAAGTCGGTCAGTATCGATTTAATGAAGTATATAGATATACCTACATAGATATAAGAAAAAAATAAAAAAGGAGGACAACAAATATTCAATATGTATATGTAAAGATATGTATATAGACGAAAATTATAGTGCACGTGTCATCTTCATGTCTTTAGAGTGAAGAAATAATCAATAACCTACATTAATATACACACCTATCATATCGATCGGTCAGCATATCGTTTTTTTCTTCGCTCTGTCTCTCTTTTCATTTATTTAGTCCTTGATTCTAAATAGGTTTTTCATCGACTATTATTATAACTCTCTAATATACAAGCAAGCATATTCATTCTTTTATTTCTATAGAACCGTTCAATGTTTAGCGCTTTTTTTTCTCATGCATATACACGCATATATATATATATACATATGCATATTTATATACATACAATCTTTCTCAATGATGCGCGCAATCTGCTTCAACTATGACTACTTTTGCTTTCAAGTTTTTCTTTTGTTGTCATTGTCGTGTACAATTTGATTATTATTTTTTATTTCATTCACTAATAGCTACCGTTAAAAAGAAGAAAAAAGAGGGAGTTGACAATTGTTCTATATATATATACACATCTATATATATATATATGTGTGTTCAGACGATGAAGATTGTCTAATTATCAATTTCTTCTGTACATTGCAACCATTACACATTTTTGATGACGTGTGAAACGGCGTACGGTTCATTAGATGAAGTCTTAAAAGGCAACATATTATAAAAGAATTCACTGACCTTCACATTTGGAGACTATTTTCTTATTCTATGTTTATATTTATAAAAAGATAGAATTTTTTAATTGTAAGCATATATTTATATATATATATATATATATATATATATATATGATCATCTCCTCATTATGATTATAAGCACGTTTAGACGATTTAATGTTAATTTTTTTTCTTAAGAAAAGAAAAAGAAGAAAAAAAGATGTTGCACACTAAAGTATACTAATTTGCATCGATTAGAAACTTCTTGAGACATCCGATTCACATATAAATAGCAGCAACTTGCCTAAACGATCTGTTGCCATCACCTTCTCTATTCATAATTGCTCATTCGATATCTCGCCTTGTATTTTAATATCGATACTATTTAGCCTAAAGAATAAAAGTAATCGTAGAAATATTTGTTTGTCTTTTTTTTTCTTCATTCATACATATCGAGAAAAAAAAAGAAAGTTGTGTCGGTATTCGAAACAGATGAGTACGTGCGTACGATTACTCAATCCTACTCATCTGTTTTGTCAACAGACAAATAAGTACACATATAAACTTTCTTTGAAATATCGAAGATATCGAAATAACAGAGAATGAATCAAAATCAATTTAGCTTTCTATATAGATTTGATTCTTTTGAACATTTTTTTTTTGCTCAATCGTATACAATCGAAAAGTAAACAGGTCTAGTTTCGATTTCACACATTCATGTAAATTGGAAGCCGACACTCAAATGTAGGAAAAGAAAATATTCACGTGTATATTTATCTATTGAAGACCATGAAAGAAAATATCTTCTGTTTATATACAGATCAATTACAAGTAATTCATCGTGATGATAATTATAAGAAAGAAAATAAAATAACTTACTTAGAAATATATTGTAATCTAAACGCATGCTTAAGTCGATGTGTCGATGTCGTCAAATAAATGTAACCTCTTTACTTAGTCTTTCATTCATCTTCTTTTTAGCTAGTTATTTGCTTATGTAACCAACAACTAATATCAAATAGAATTAAAAAAAGAGAGAGAGAGATTCGGCTCGTCATATACAAACTAATCGACACATTCAATTGTTTTCAGAGTTCTTTTCTCCCCGATGCTGAAGACAAATAATTTCTTTTTTTTTTGATCCGATACGGAGAATAGTTGACCGAAATGAACACTTGATTTTTTTTTCTAAGGTTTGCGTCATATACACACAAACTCATAAGTTGACATATGGTCGCTACTTGAGACATACATTGTACACACATGCAATGTAATATATTTATGTATGTATATCTTTATGTTTGCCGGATTTATTAAAAATTTAAAAGAAATATAATTTAATCATCAAAAGAAAGGAAATCTTTTTTTTTTACTCTATGAGATATAACAAAAGCACTTATATTCAATTATTGTAAATGAATATATATAAAAAAAAAGAGGTCAAATATATAAAAATCTTCTATTTTAATCTTTTCTATTGTTTTATGAACTTACTTTTTCTCAAGAGTTTACGAGACTTAATGAATGCATCAATGATGATGGTTGGATTCATAGTAAAAGAAAAGAACGATAAGTATGTATTGAGTATACACACGTCAAATCGAATGCCGTTCATTCATCGTTTGTTTCTTCAATCTGATCGATGAATAGAGAAGTGCATATACAACTGATTAGATGCATTCGTTCAGCTTGTTTTACATCTACATATATCATTAAATTTGAATATATCAAAATAAGAAGAATTTTTTTGTTTCTTACATATATATGCTTTGTTTTTAGAATAGAAGAAAAAAAAGATGTCAAAACGAAAAGGAACTATGCCAACAATAAATAAACGAGAGAAGAAAACTAGTGAATCAGACAATAATACGAGTGAAAAAGAAGATCATTTTGAAAACGAAGAAGAAGAACAAAAGAATGAATTAGCTGAAAAAGTAACTAATACAAAAACAAATACAACTATAATCGATTATTTTACTATAAAACCTCTTCAATCAGCTATTGATAATATTAGAAAAAATATTTGTTCGAGTGTGAATGATTTTCATTTTAATAAAACACGTGTTCGTCCTATGAATAATATGAATATAATTCCACAAGATTCTCAAACAATACTTTATTGGATGTCACGTGATCAACGTGTTCAAGATAATTGGGCAATGCTCTATGCTCAAAGACTTGCACTGAAACAACAACTTCCATTACACGTTGCTTTTTGTTTAGTACCAACATTTTTAGCTGCACCATTACGTGCATATCGTTTTATGCTTAAAGGTTTACGAGAAGTTGAAAGAGAATGTCAACAATTAAATATTGCATTTCATTTATTAACTGGACAAGCAGAAAATGTTTTACCGAAATTTATTGACAAATATAAAGTTGGAACAATTATTACTGATTTTTCACCTTTACGTGTACCACGTCAATGGGTTGATAATGTTGCGAAAAAAATTACAACAATTCCTATTATACAAGTAAAAACATCAACTATATATATATATATCGATTTTTTTCTTAAGGTTGATGCACATAATGTTGTACCTTGTTGGCATGCATCACCTAAACTTGAATATGCTGCACGTACAATACGAAATAAACTTCATGTAAATATGACTGAATTTTTTACTGAATATCCTCCAGTTATTAAACATCCACATGTATCACCTACTCATTTACAAGCCAAACCGACTGATTGGCAAGCAGCTGATGATAGTTTACAAGTTGATCGTACTATTGATGAAGTATCTTGGGCTACACCTGGTAAACATTTTTTATATTTATTCAACGAAAAGAATAAAAACTAGTTTATTTTCTATAGGTTATACTGGTGGAATAGAACAATTAGAAACATTTATCGATCAACGTGTAGCTAATTTTGCTATTGGACGTAATGATCCAAATAAGTGTGTAATATCAAATCTATCTCCATGGTTACATTATGGACAAATAAGTCCACAACGCGCATTACTTATTATGGCAAAATTACGATCAAAATGTAAAGAAGCTTGTGATTCATTTATTGAAGAAGCATTTGTACGAAGAGAATTAAGTGATAACTTTTGTTATTATCAACCAAATTGTAATAAAAGATTTAAAACTACAAGAAAGTTCTATATCTATTTTCTTTGTAGATGATAATATTAATGGAGCGTGGGAATGGGCACAAAAAACTTTAAATGATCATCGAAATGATAAACGTACTCATATATATAGCCGTGATGATTTAGAATATGCTCGAACATATGATAAATTATGGAATGCATCAGAAATTCAAATGATTAAAGAAGGTAAAATGCATGGATTTTTACGTATGTATTGGGCAAAAAAAATTCTTGAATGGACAAATACACCGGAAGAAGCTATTGAAATAGCTATCTATTTAAATGATAAATATAATCTTGATGGACGTGATCCAAATGGTTATGTTGGAATTATGTGGAGCATGTGAGAAGAACGTTTTTTTTATAAATAAAATATTAGAAATTTTTTTTCTAAGGTGTGGAGTTCATGATCAAGGTTGGAAAGAAAGACCAGTTTTTGGTAAAATTCGTTATATGAATTATGATGGTTGTAAACGAAAATTTGATGTTGCACAATATGAAAAACGATATTCAAGTTTATAGATATATAATAACAAGTCAGATATAAATATTCAAGCATATAATTATTCTCGCAAAACAACGATTTCTAGTCAATTTTTTTATATATTTCATCGGCAACTGTATATATATATATTTGTTATTGACGTACATAAAAGATTTAAGGATAATACTGTCTTGTCTTTTCTTATCTATATATTATCTTATGTAATTGAGCGTGCGTGTGTTCGTCTGACCCTTCCGGTATTCAATTGGATAAACTGTAAAAGATTATCAATTGACGAGTTATTGTCTGTCTGTGTTATGTTACAGCCAATATATCATCTAAAAACGATTAGCACATCGAGTGATTGTTTATTATTATTATTATTTTGTCTATTTAGAGAAAACATGCCAAGTGTAGCATCCTAACATTCTAATCATTACAACCATCATCAGTTTGTCTTCTTATAAATGATGACTTTTTTTTCCTCCCTTATAAATATATATGTTTGACGTAGCAGAAAATGTATATTCTATGATAGGGTGTGATGAAGTTATTCAGATAAAACATAGATTAAAAATGAATATTTCATTATTTCTATAGCTAACTGATGAGCATATTTCATGCGATGAACAACGATGAGATACATAGAATAAACTCATTAATGAACTTTGACATTCTCTCATATCGTTGTTTTGAGCTCATTTATAACTTGACAATCATCAGCCTATTGTTTGTATATGGTAAAAAGAAATTAATTCTAGTCAAAAAAATTTTAGAATCGAGGAAAAAAATGAATTATTGCTTTTAAACTCTTCCGAGTTAAATTAATGCTTGCTATATACTAAGTAGAATGTTTTTCCCTAAGGGAGCCTCCTTTATAAAGAGTTAGACGGAAGAACAACATACATATGTAGCGAGAATTAGAAAAAAAACGACCATTTATATACGTGCTCTAATAGCTTTCTATTAATGACTAGTCGTACGTTTTACTTTAAGGCTTAACCTTCATACATATAAAAAACAAGAAAAAAAATAGACAAATATATTTCTCTAACTGAACATTCTATTACTACTAGATAGATTTCTGATGTAATTATTATCGTATTATCCAATGATAATGTTAGATTGATTAAAAAGAATGAATTTCGAAAGAGAAAAGAAAAGAGATAATGTGTCACATACCTTAATTGTACATGTGTATATTGCAATTTTCAAAGGATAATTGAATTGAACTACAACAGTAGTCGATCGATTCTAGTTACTACTTGTGAATTATGGTCTATTTTTTCTTTCTCGTCTATCTCTTTTTTCTTTTTTTTTATTCTCTCTCTCTCTATTGAACATTGGTCATTGATTAAATGAGAGAAGAAGCAAAACAATACTTTCTCGTTCTCTTACTCTCATTTTTTTTTCTCTCCTCCCTCTTATCCGTACAAAAACGTACGCGTGCCAGTTAATGATCAACACTCTAAGATGAATTTTGAACGATTTACAATTGTCAAAACAATAAAATTAAATCATTGCTTTACAAAAGATTATTTCTATCTACGATAATGAGAGTTCATTTATTTGCATCTACGAAAAGACAATATCTTTTTCTTAATTTCCATAGATAAACAAGTCGTATGTTATTGTTATTAGGTTAAATTTCAAAAGTCTATTCATGCGTTAAACAAGTCTCAAGTTGATTAGTATACTGATAAGTTCACGATAGCCTTCACAATTGATCAAAAAAGAAAATCGTTTGTCGATTAAGCTTTCTACATCGTTGAATATGTTTTTTCTTGTTAGATAATATAGATTACTAAAATGATCATTCGTTCAAGGATAAAAATATTTAACTCTATAAAATTTTCTTGATCTTTTAGATCATTATGTCTCTAGATAATCATGAAGAATTACAAAAATTTATTGATTTAAGTGAACATTATCGAACATATCTTGATGAACATGATCATTCTCGTCCAGATGGACGAAAATTTCATCAATCTCGATCTGTACAAATCCTCGATAGTCTCCTTCAACATTCTTATGGTTCATCCATGATACGTTTTGGTAATACAACTGTAATATGTTCAATAACTGGTCAATTAACAAAACCATCTTTAAAATCTTTACGATCAGGTTTCATTCAAACAGTTGTATTATTACCACGTACACAAGCATGGTCAACATACGGTCGACGACAACAAATAATAAATGAAAATTTAACATTAAGTCAACATTTACTTGATATTATCTATAAATCAAAATTAATTAATTTAGAGGATTTATGTATTGAAGAAGGTTAATAATAAATAAAAATAAAAGAAATTTATTTTTTGATATTTTAATTTAGGTAAATGGGTATGGCGTTTACAAATTGATTTTCAATGTTTAAATAATGATGGCAATTTATTTGATAGTTGTTTATTTGCTCTTAATATTGCATTACGTCATACATCTTTTCCAACAGTTAAAATCGATCCTGATACACAAAAACCTTTAGTTTATACAAAAGAATTAATACCATTTCAATATAATCATGAACAAGAACCATTATGTTGTACATTAGCTATCTATGAATATGAACAAGAATATAGATTCTTAATTGATCCAACAGTAGAAGAAGAAAATATAGCTAAAAGTATTTTACATTATGTTCTATTAAAAAATGATCAAATATGTTTAATACATAAAACAAGTGGTGCACCATTCTCAATAGAAAAATTCCATCAATGTTACTCACTTGCTCGTGATTATATTCTTCAATTGCGTAGGAAACTTAATCAATAGACTGATTGGCAGGGAATGATTGAACACTTTTTTTTTTCTTTCTTCTATTTCTGTTTTTTTGTTACTATTATTATAAACTTTGCGTGATTATGCATCAGACCGATACGGTGACACATGTTCGCATATGAATACCTTCACTACATGTCTCGACCATTGTCATCTCCTTCGATTTATTCATTAATGAGAAGACAACTTTCTCTCTCTCTTTCTCTAGTGAGAATTGATAGACGAGACATATGTATTGAAAAAGTAATCGTTTGACGGGCACTTAACCCATTAAGTATAATATCGGATTTATTATTAAGAAAATAAATTTTCAGATTCGATGTTAAAACAATAATTGTTTTAGATACATGTTAACATTTTTGTGTGCTGTATTTGTTGTTGGAATTATTATAATGGTCGGTAAATTACGCCGACCAAATACAACGCAAAAATGTGCGCATATTGTTGTTCTTGGCGATCTTGGCCGAAGTCCACGCATGTGCAATCATGCTATTCAATTTGAGAAGCATAAATTCAATGTACAATTGATTGGTTATGCAGGTTGGTTACTTGAACATCTGCTCTTTCTATTATTCATAGACATTTGATATTTAGAATCAAAACTTGGTCAAACTATTTCCAACAATAATAATATTAATGTATCAGCTCTTAAACCATTTCCTCAAATAGAAGGTTTACCAGCTGTATTGGTATATGGTTTAAAAATACTTTGGCAATTTGGTACACTTTTTATTCGTCTTTGTCAATTACCTAAACCTGATGTTATCTGTGTTCAAAATCCACCATCAATTCCAGCTATATTTACAACATTTTTAGTTGCAAAAATACGAGGAGCTCGTTTAATTATTGACTGGCATAATTATGGATATTCAATGTTAGCATTAAAACATGGTGTTAGACATTGGATTGTTCATTTATGTCAAAAATATGAATTTTTTCTCGGTCAATTAGCTGATATAAATATATGTGTATCGGATACATTTAAACAAAATCTCGGTGTTCATTTGATTAAAGCATCTGTACTTTATGATAAACCTACTGATCAATTTCATATTTTAACAACAGAAGAAAAACATCAAATTTTAATGAAAATGTCTACAAAATATTCTTATAAACAATTTCAAGGAAAATTAGATGATTCAACTCGTTTTACAAGTGAAGATGAGAAAAATAATGTTACATATGTTAAAGATCGACCAGCTATTCTTGTCAGTAGTACAAGTTGGAGTGAAGATGAAAATTTTACATTATTATTTGATGCATTAAAACAATATGGTTCTGATGATACGACTAATCTACCATCGATTGTTTGTATTGTTACTGGAAAAGGTCCATTAAAAGATCAATTTATTGAACAAGTTGAACGTGAACGTGAACAATATAAACATATTGAATTTTGTTTCCCATGGCTTGATGCGGATGATTATCCATTATTATTAGGTTGTGCGGATCTAGGTGTATGTCTTCATCAATCATCAAGTGGCTTTGATTTACCAATGAAAGTAGTTGATATGTTTGCTGTTGGTGTTCCTGTTTGTGCAGTTCATTATGATTGTATTGGTGAATTAGTTAGACGTGATCAAAATGGAGTTATTTTTCAAGATTCACATGATTTATCCGATCGTTTAGAAAGTTTACTTCGTGGTTATCCTGACCGGTGTTTGAAATTGGAAAGTTTAAAATCCAATTTAAAAAATAATCTATCAAATGAAAATTGGTCAACAGAATGGGAAACAGTTATGAAACCGTTGATTCGTCTATAGTCTATTTCAAAGAACTTATTAGTTCATCGTCTTATTTTAACTGATATTGTTGTTAAAGTTGTTTTTAAATTATGTTTTTAATGTTATTGTGAAACCGATGATTTGTGTGATATATTAACTATCATTTGACTTGCTTATGATTAACTGACGATGATAAAAGAAATAAAAGTTTTTTTTTATATCATATTATAAAATAGACAGCATATGTCATAACTTCAAATAATCATAGATGGAAGGACAGAGATTCAGAATAATAGTTTCTGACAGATGATACGTTTCATAAATATTTCAAATATGTTCTATAGATGTCACTCTTATTCATGTAAATAGTTTGTTGCTTTACATTTCTATGTAATCTTATAGTAAAAAAAGGTAGAGTTCAGGTAACAACGTCAGTAATGAAGTTGTCTATCGGATATATGACAGCTCAATAGATTAGCTGTATGAATAAAAAAATAAATACATTTCTATTTTGGTGATATGTCTTCTTTGTATATGAACTAATATTTATAAAACTCTCATTTGTTTTTTAAATTCTATTTACAATTATTCAAGTATTTCGTTTATTGAATTATGGAAAAATATAAAATATTAAAACAACTTGGTGATGGTACATATGGAAGTGTGTTACTTGCTCATCTTAAAGATACACCTCAAGAAAAAGTTGCTGTTAAACGAATGAAAAAGAAATATTGTAAGTAAAATTCAAATAAATTTACCTATATATATATATAATGAGAATTTTTAGACTCATGGCAAGAATGTATGGATTTACGAGAAGTTAAAGTAAGATTTACATATGGTTTTATCAAATCAAAATAAGTATTTGAATATTATTTTTTCAGGCTCTACAAAAAATTCGACATCCAAATATAATTAAATTAAAAGAAGTCGTTAGAGAAGATAATAATTTATACATGGTTTTCGAGGTAATTTTCTTCAATTGTATTATTTTATATTCATTTTATTATATTAGTTTATGAATGAAAATCTTTATGAATTAATGAAAAAACGGTAAATAATTCTTTTATCTAATCTAATAATTTTAATAAATCATTGACATGTGTATAGTGATCGATTATTTCCTGAAACTAATGTACGTAATATTATCTTTCAACTTCTTCAAGGTTTATCCTATATGCATAAACTTGGTGAGATTATTATTTATTGAAAAAGTAAATATGACAACTTTTTTTGCTTAAGGATTTTTTCATCGTGATTTAAAACCAGAAAATATCTTGTGTAAAGGTGTAGAATTAATTAAATTAGCTGATTTTGGTCTTGCTCGTGAACTTCGTTCCAGACCTCCTTATACTGATTAGTAAGTGTTTTTTTTGTAAGAAAAATAAAAAAAAATAAAAATATTTCAGTGTTTCTACACGATGGTATCGTGCACCCGAAGTACTTCTTCGTTCTACTTCATACACATCTCCAATTGATATGTGGGCTGGTAAAAATCTATATCATACTATTAACTATATATATACATGATCTATTGAATTATTTAGTTGGATGTATTGCAGCAGAGCTATATACATTAAGACCATTATTTCCTGGCAGTAGTGAAATCGATGAAATGTTTAAAATTTGTGCTGTTATGGGTACACCAAATAGAGTTAGTTTCATTTATTTTCTTCTTGTTTTTTGTTATACAAAACTTCAAACTTCTAGGATGAATGGGCTGAAGGATATATGTTAGCAACTAAATTATCATTTCGTTGGCCACAATGTGCTCGAACAGATCTTAAAAAAATAATTCATAGTTCAAATAGTGATGGTATTGATTTAATTGAAGCAACACTTCATTGGGATCCTAAAAGACGACCAACTGCAGCACAAGTATAACATATTTGTTTTCTTGTAAAAGAAAATCTTAATTCAATTTCTTTTTCTTCTAGTGTTTAAAACATTCCTATTTCAAAGTCAGTCAAGATCTAATACCAACAACATATTCACAAGCACCAGTTGGAAATAATTCATCACCAATAAATTCAGCAAGATCATCGGAATCAAAAAATAATATATTTACAGATGATTGGCAAATAGCTGGAGTAAGAGAAATATGAAATTATATAAAAAAAGAGAATGATATTTGTTTTTTTAGAACAAGACTCCAGCTGATCTTGATGATATGCAAGATTTAGATGCATTATTAAAAGAATTTGAAGAACCAAAAAAGCCTACTATAAAAGCAAATAATCTTCAACCACAAAAATTACCACCATCAAATATATCTTCGCAGAAAAAATACGAATCATCTTTCGTAGATAATCGAAAAGGAAATATTTCTAAACCAAATTTATCTCATATACCTGAACAACATCGAACATCAAATTTTAAAGAATCAGCTAAACCAGCAGTTGATCAATCATTTGATATTGATGCGATTTTACAAGGTCGATCAATTCAACCTCAACAGACAGGAAAAGGCTTATTAAATCCAATAGGAGCATCAAAAAATTCTGCATCATCAGCAACAAGAAGAGACAGTTTAACCGATTGGTTAAATGAAGATCGATCAACAACTAAAAATCAATCATCAAATTTATTTTCAAATAAAATAACAACAAATGTTTCTACTAAACCAACAACTCATCTTGATCCTGATGATTTTTTTTCTAACACACATAGTCGAGATCAAAGTGCGACGAGAGCACCTCAATCAACAACGAAATCATCTGCTAAGCAATATTATTTGGGTAACTCAAGGTATAAACCAGGTAAACGTTGTTTTTTTGTTATTCTTTGAAATAAACAAAAAAACAATTTCTTCTCATAGGTATTAATCCTAAACAAACAGTACGTGGTGATAATTTTAATTGGCTTATGGATCCATCAGATAATAGTAATTCAGCGTGTATGTAAAAATTATTATATAAAATTTTAATTATTTTTATATTGTCTAGCTCGTGCTCCAAAACTATCGTCCTATGCACCAACATTTGGCGAACAAAGAAAACGTATGTTATTTTTGATCATTAACTATTATTATCTTTTATTTAATAGCAGCTCAACAAGCTCCTACAATTTTCGGTGATTGGGATCGGTAAGATATTTTTGTTTCATATTTTTTAATACTTTATTTTTTTATTTCATTTAGTCTTGGGAAATGATTGTATTCTATTCAATTTTTTTTTCATATCGAAACAAAACTTATATTTTTTTCTTCTTAAATATAAAAACTTTAACATACTTATATTTTTTATGTTATATACATATTTATAATATATTCTTTGTTTTTATGTAACAATGAGCCATATGTACGTTTATAGATAATTTTTCTATTGACGGTACATTAGAACAAATAACAAAAGTATCAGTATTTTAATAATCTCTTATTTTTTGTATGCTTTCTTTTTTTGTCTGGTATGTTATTATACTGTGTGCTCGTAATGACAAGTGAAAATATAGAAAAATAAAGAGTGAATTTTTGTTTGCTCGATGAAGAATAATTCTTATTTTTTTTTAATGTTTAATAAATGATTATTTGAATTCAGACTTGTAGGTTTTCATTATTTACCTTTCTGTTTTTCTAAAAATGTAATCTTTGATATTCATCGGTAGATATAATCATAAGGAACATGATTTGAAGTTCAGTACATGCAACAGTTTTAAACGATAAATCAAAATGCCATTCTGCTAGGAGTCTTAATATCTGTGAAAAAATTCTTTAAAAGCTTAATAATTTTAGTACCAATGCTAAAGAAAAGGGATCTTGTTCAATTATTTATAGTATCTCATCAAAATCAATTTATAATCATGAGAGTATGGGTGTGGATGTTATTCTTATCTCATACCCACACCCTATTCATCTTTTCACATTAAAACTGAATTTTAAATTATACATACGGTAGCACCTATTAAAGTCTTGAAAATTGTAGGCAAATCAAAGAATATTGAAAAAAGCATGAGAGTAGATCTCTTTATGATTTTTATCTGATTAGTTTATATAAAAAAGGGTATGGATGTCGGCATATCTTTTTTTACCCACACCGACCCTCAAGATCTCTAAAACTCTCAAAATCTATAACGCATAACTGAAGGAAGGTTGAAAGATGACTTCATATCTCCTGACACGCTTTTCAGAAAGAGCGAAAATTTTGCTTTTTAAAAAAGAGATTGACGACTTTTTGCTGAATAAGAAGAAATAAATTATTTAATGAATGAAAAGAAAAAAGAACTTACTTGAAAAAATAAAAATAAAATATTGTTTGCTTTTAATATGATTTCCATCATCGATATGACCATTTTGAATTGATGTTTTATTTATTGGTTGATATTCTTCAATAATAGCATGTGTCGTTGTACCACCCATTCCAAATGAATTAACACCTATAGCTATTTTTTCATTATTTGGAAGAGTTGGAAATGGTATAAAATTTTGAAGAATATGTAGATTATAATTTTGTGCATCTATTTTTGGATTAAGTGAAGTAAATTGCATATTTGCTGTAATACCACGATGATACATACACATAGCAACTTTAATCAGTGATGCTACACCAGCTGCACCTTCTGTATGTCCTAAATTACTTTTAATTGAACCTAATAATAATGGTGGATCAAGATTTGATCGATTAAAAAATCGACCTAAAGCATTTGCTTCAATTGGATCACCAACTAGTGTACCTGTACCATGCGCTTCAACAAATAATATTTTTTGAGTATCAAAATTATTTCTTGAATAAATATTTGCTAATAAACGTCCTTGTCCTGCAGGTGATGGTACAACAAAATTTGTTTTGTCTTCATTTCCATCATGACCACTAAGTACATCACGAACAACACAATATATACGATCTCCATCACGTTCAGCATCACTTAACCGTTTTAATAGTAAAAGACCAAGACCGTCGCCTAGATAATTGAAATTGAAATTTATTTTGAAATAAAAATGAATCAATTGACTTTTTACCTCTAGCATAACCATTAGCATCAGTACTAAATGATCGACTTCTCCCATCAGGTGATTGTGCACCAATAAGTGAATGTTGTAGAAAACTATCTGGTGAAAAAATTCCATTAACACCACCACATACAGCCATATCAGCTTCATTTGTACGAAGACATTGTACACCCATATGTAAAGCTTCTAAAGATGATGAACAAGCAACATCTAATGATACATTTGGACCATGTAAATTAAAATGATATGATAAACGTGCTGATGCATTATATAATAACGTGTTTGGTCCATGAAATCTTGATCGATGTTCAGGTCTCATACGAGCTGCTGCAACTGCATGATCTGTTGAAAATTGTCCAATATGTACTGATGTTTTTGTACCATTGATTTTGTCAATACTATATCCAGCATCATCAAGTAAATGAACAAATTTTAACCTAAGTAATCGATGACATGGATCAACACTGCCTGCTTCAGCATCTGATAAATCAAAGAAACTTGGTTCAAACATATCCCATTGTTGATTTGACATAAAATAACCAGCACGAAGAAGTTTTTGAAGAAGTTGTTCATTATTATCCATATTAAACATATGAGCAGTAAATGATTCAAGATCAAATCGATCAATTGGTGTTGTACTACCAACATCACGACTTTCTTTTAATGCATCCCATAAATCATTAGGTGAATGAATATCACTTGCAAATTCACATGATATACCTGTTAAAGCTATTGCTTCTAATGATGAGTTATTATTATTATTTACAGTTGACATTAATATTTTTTGTTTAAATATTAATTTTCTGGATTAATATACTAGAGTTTTGTATCTAAAATAAATATTATTATATAAAATAAAATCTAAGATTAATTTAATTTTTTATTTGAAAATATATATTTGACCTATACAAATATGATTATAATTTAATGATATTATGAGTTTTGTTTTGTTTTTTATTAGAAAATATGAAAAATTATTTTTATTATTTCATAAATCAAATATAATTTATAAATCTTTTCACATTGAACTTCTATTGTGTTTTGTAAATTAGAAAAATTTATACATGAATTTCTAATGTAGTTAATATTTTTTATGCTTTAAGTAATGTTTGATTAGTAGTGTACAAGCACAAAAAGTCTTAAAAATTTATAAATTACGTAGAATTGTGAAATAGTCGGATGAGTGTCGAAGTACCTATGATAATAATCTAAAATATGAAATTAGTTATAAGTTCTTTCTATGATTATAATATTGTTAAGTTTAATAAAAATTTCTATAATTTCTTTTGTAAATTGTATATGATTTGTTAGAAATAAAAATATCTAATAGAACAGAGTTATTAGGGTATGGGTGTGAGTGTGGGTGGATTATGAGATGGTAGACACCCACCCTCACCCTCAATATGGAATTTTGAAAAACAATTAGTTTCTATATTATGTTTGCTACGAAATAAAAATAAAACATTAGTATAAATTCAAGAAATGCAAAATGATAGAGTAAGTAAGGTTAGTTTGAGAAAAGAGAAAATGTTCGTAATGTCAAGTCAAAATTTGATTTCAGATGGTGGTCATATCTGTTGTTGTTTTCTTTCGAAATACAGCTCGCCAATACTGTATATGTCCTTCGTACATGCCACTGTACATATGAGTACCAGGTAATCCAGCAAACAAACGAAAATATTCTTGTTCTCTTGGTCGAACATAACGTTCAATAAATTCAGCACGAGTGTTGCTTTGAATGTCAAGTGCATGGAGAACATTCCTTGTAATATTGATCTTTTCTTCAGCAACCAATTCACCATTTGCTGTTAAATAATCAATGGATGTATCTGATCCATCTATGTGAAGTAAGTCACACCAAAGAAAATATCCATTTGGACGAAGTACACGGGCAACCTCACTAGCAAATCGTTGTACTGCTGCTGGTCCACCATAAGCATGTGTTGCTTCAACACAAAGAACAATATCAAGGGACTCATTATCAAATGGTAAATATTGTGTTGCATCAGCTACTACGAAAGAAAGCCGAGAAATCATCGAATGGCGTTGTCGACATACGTCAATGGCACTGAGAGAAAGATCAACTCCCACATAAGAACCAGGTACATAATTATGGACGCACCAGACAGCACCAGAACCTCTACCACAACTCACTTCAAGCACATTCTGATTTATAAGTGATACGTGAGCAAGGACCTTTATCAAAGGACAAAATATATTAGTTATAATTATTACATTTTGAAAGTGTGGATATTCTATTTATTGTATGTTCGATGTACAAAGAAAACACTGAACTCTGTGTTATTTATTCTTGATTATTTACCTGTTTATATAGCTGTTTCGAACAGTCGTCGACGTTATCGTCAATGTGCTCATCAAGGTCTGCATAGCCATAATTCATAAATTGTAGTTCATCAACGTTCGAATAAGTGTTTGTAATCCACTCATACCAGAAAGACAAGCTATCCACGTTTTCAGATATTTGCTGTTGTTCAGCTTTATTATCACGAACCGATAAAGATTGAGATGATGTTGTTTTTGTTGTCAAAAGTTCTACAAAAAATAAACTTAGTATAATGAAAGAATGAATTCATTGATATACAATGATTACAAGCAATTAATCTAACTTTAAGTAAGCTATAAGTATAGTTTATTATATACAATGATCCATCTAGAAGTTCAGAATATAATCGCGTCTGAATGGTACACAATATCAGTCAGAGAATTTTCCGAGTGAATTATCAACAATGAAATTCTAGTATGGTACATTTAGTTCAATCTATTTTAATTGAACATATTTTTTTAGCTTTTGAAGAACAATAAATTACGTAATCTTATATAAACCTATCTCACTACAAAGAATTAATTCAATATAAAAACTAACGGGTCAGAATGTATCGTTTCATTAATAGTAGAACTGAATGAATAGTGAACAGTCATAATAAACAAAGTTACGTTTGCTGAATATTAAATAGCATCTCAAAAGTATTATAGTGGGTGGCTCATAATAAATAAGAGACTGAAAATGAACTACTGTGAACCAAACTGAACTCGATCTAATTTTGTAAGAGATGATTTAACGTAATCTAACGTCACGTAAAAGAATAATTGATTGAAGTATCATGGATTTGAAAAAATCTGATGTCATCAATGGAGATAAAAACGAACTTTTATAATTGTTCTATTTGCAGGAATGTTTGAACTGATGACAATTCATGTAAATATGAACTTTAACGTAACATCCCTAACTGTGCGAATTATAGGCCCTTTCATGTTTTATCTTGTGATATATTTTGTTTTCTTATGAAATATATTCAAAAATCAAATTATACAATAGAAAATACAACCAGTTATTTATGTATCACTAGCGATACGTATGCTTTTATTTATATAAATGACTTACCTGCAGGAAGTCCTTTCCATTGGGTATTTGGCAGTAAGAGATCATTTTTCATTACCAATGTAAATGGATAAAGTCTATTGTTACCCATCAATTTGCAGCCTGCCATCACAAATGAACCACTCATAAGCACACATGAATTTTTGATCGTCACAGGAGCTAACTTTATGATACGTTGTTCAAAACTATGACACTAAAATAATTGTGAAGAACAAAACATTTATCGAAGAAAATAACAACAAAAACTCATGTATTACTTGAATATTAGCATGAATATTAAGTCGAACATTATCTCCAATGGTTATCAAATGATAATCAGTAATACAGGAAAAATCAGGCAAGATCACACCTTCACCAATATGAGCTCCAAATGCTCGAAACAACCGAACTAACCATTGTGTATTGCCAAGAAATGGACAAATAAATTGTACAAAATCATGCGTTAGTCCTCCTGATAGTTGTTGAACTAGTTGATGATGTATGTATGAGTGCCATCGGTGAAGACCACAAATGAGTGTTATATGAATTACTGATCCACCAATGAAACCACCTAATGAATAAATGCTCACCAGAACACATTTGCCAATGAAATAAAAGAAACATGTATGCCAAATTGGAATAATTTGAATTTGGTCTGTCTGGTTTGATCTCAGAGGCATTTTAAAAGGCATTACACGAGCTGGAACACCAATAAAAACGTCGCCAGTGTCGTGATTCGTTTCACGAGAGATACGCGTTAAATTGCCAACCATTGTTTCAGAAGCAAGGCGGCTGCCAGGCAAAATTGTACATCCATTTGCAAGATTTGTATGGGCTCCAAATGTTATACGATCAGTACGATGGTCGCCTGATACCGTTAATTCAGTGGGGACTATTAAGACTGAACCGAAAGTAGTAACCCCCGTTTCAAGTTCTAGTAGATTTGTTGGACAAGATAGGAAAATGTTGATCTCAGAGAGTTTGACATTATCCTCGATATGAGCACCTAACCAACGAAGAATTGAAGGATAAATATCATCGTAGGCAGATGGTAGCAGCCAGGCATGACGAAAACTGAATACAATTAATTGGCGAACCCATAGCTTATGTAAATACGACCAAGAAGCTATCGAGTACGTGTCACCAGCCTTACAAGAGCCAGCTACGAATTTAAGCAGGATGATAGAAACAAAACAGCCGATTAGCGACCACAAAGTCCAACAAAAAGCAATAATAATAGGTAATGGTATATGTTTAATTGAATAAATTTTGTAGACAAAAATTAAAATTGTACAGTGAATACATATTAGCGAGATGAGTACAATAATTTGGTAGATCTTATGCCATACCGATAATGATCTTTTATTGTAAGTGATACAGTCATCCGATGAAATAGCTTTATGTTCTTCACCATCAATGACTGTTTTAGATGCGAAGGAACCAGTAACCGATGACATTGGTTGAACAATAATATTATCTTTCATATCAACTTCATCAAATAAAATCGATCGTGTGCCGATTGAACAGTTAGAACCAATCTTAATTGAATATATTTCAAAAGTGTTGCCATCATTAAAATGAAAACAGTTCAAGAATGTTTGATCAGCAATCCAAGTTCCATCACCAATTTCTACTGACCACGGGGCATCCATGATTGTAGTATTAATATGTGTGCTAGAACTTATACGAGCGCCACAAAGACGAAGATAATAATTATAGAATGGTGTACCAAGTATATGTTGTAACCAAAATGTATTATTATTCCATAGTCGATCTAAAAACCACCATCGATAATAGCTCCAAGAGAAAACATTACCATCTTTGATGTTTTGTGGTGATATTAAACGTGAGCAAATGACATAGAACAGAAGGTGGGATATTGGTAAGATAGGAAAAAGAAGTGGGCACCATTGATGAATTATCATAATTGGCAACAACCACTGGCAAATAAGGAGCGCAATACCTAATGATTCGACGACAAATGAAGGTGTCAGACGAACATCTGTTTCATGAATTTCATTGACTGTGGAAGCTGTCTCTTGTAGTTCTTCGAAAGCTAACATAGGTTCTATTGCTATGGCCAATTGCTGAATAGACGGATTAGTAAATAGAAGACCAATGTCAACCTTGTTGCATATTTGTTGACGAATCAGTGTTAGTGCAAGGATAGCACCCAGTGATGTTCCACCAAGTTGACCAAAAGGAACATAGAGATGAGGAGATTCAATATGGAAAGCTTGACTAAATATATCTTGTAATTGTTGTTCTAAGGTGTTGCGCGGTACATTACCATCAATATTATCAGTTGATGGTAAAAAATCAGGTGGCGGTAGAAGTTTTCGATCTATTTTTCCGTTTGGATTCAAAGGTAATTTCTCAAGAATAATAAAAAAAGA